TCTGGGATGTGACACCGTGCAGTCTGGTAGAAACTACCTATCAGACTACATCCCATACTCCCAGACAGCAACAGTCTTCTTCAAATACTGGTATTGTTAAATTTCTGCTTATTTTTAGTCAACTTCTTCCCCTATTTTGAAAATAAGTTAAAATTTGGCTTGTGAGATCACTCTGCTGTGTGTGTCTGTATGCGTTCCCCCAAATCGTTGCTAAACAACGTTACCGCAGCAACAAATATACACGCAACAATAGAAGAATTAATGGACGCGTCTTTTCTATGCTGTCCACCTCGTAAAGTAAAGTAAAAGTAAAGCTATTCCTGTACCAGGCCGTGAAGGCCCATAGGTTTGTGAGACGTTGAGGGTCCCACATTTTCTAGACAGTCGGCTCAAAGATGGCGGTAAGGTTGTCAGCCTTACGCGCCGGCCGCGCTTTACTCCCCAGGAAAACTATTTAATTAATTCGTGCCAAAGTAAAGTAAGTGATGTTCTTCAGAGAGAGGATGCACAGAGTCCATAGTGACCTGGACGCCGTGACAGGGAGGATGTACTCCTGCTGAAACTACAGCGCAACAAACTTAGCGTCCAAATAGAAAGACAGACCTCTCCTCTCGTCGAAAAGGAGGCCCCATTTGTAAACACGCATATGCCTAGGAAAGAACAAAATCTTGGTCGTGGATCTCGAGGAGACTGAAGCCAGGAATATGTGTGCTGGCGAAGGCCAGCAGCAATTTACCCGCCTTTCTTCCCAGACATTCTGGTTCATGTATGTTTCATATCCGTTTTTTTTTAATATCAGTGCCTATACATGTTGTAGCTTGCTGCAGTTGGACGATGTGACTAATAATATTCGTTGCATTGCCATACAGTTGCATTTTATTCTCCAATATTTGTCTTGCTGAGTCTTACTGTGGATGTTATAAAATAGATTCCTTCCATGGTTTCACCTTCTTCCCAATTTTGTTTTTCTTTTGGTTGACATTTTTAACATAAAATTGTAAAAAAAAGTGTAAACCTGTCCGTGTATCAGTCCGTGGAGACCCATAGGGTTGTGAGACGTCGAGGCTCCCACAGCTTCTAGAGAATTGGCTCACAGATGGTGGTAAGGTCAGCCCTACGCGCCGGCCGCCCTCTACCCCGTCGGAAGATTCCTGGTACTCATTTTTGTAACAGGCTGAGTCGACTCCAGGGCCATAGTGCGGCTGGAAGCATTAGGTCAATTGAAAAATCCAATTATTTCATCGAGATTAGATTCCGTGACCTTCCGGTTTTGTAGCGTAGTGCCTTAGACAACTACGCTACCGCGTGCCTGACCTACCAATCAAAATTAGTCCCACATTTCTCGAGTTATTACGTAGTATCATAGACATCCCTTTCGTTTAATCATTTCGAGAACTTTAAGACCCACGGGAAAAGTATGTTGGAGGTGATGTTTATGTGTCACGCTTCTCGACAGCTTCTGTTACGCAACTTCTCTTCCTTACGACAAGTGGTGGCCAGAATGAATGCGGACACACATGTGAAAGTTGTCTGGTACTGTCAGATTTTAACCAAATTCGGGATGTGTCGAGCAAATTATAGTAACACTTCCCAATGTCAAATCTCAAGGAAAGCTGTGAGATTTGACGTTCTCAACAACTGCATCTGTAAGGGTTGCCGTCTTCTGGAATGCGAAGCCGTGTAGTCTGGTAGTAGATTGTTACTGCAGACAGATTTCACATTCTCGATGGGGTGACTATGAAAATTATTGTCACGATTTAGGAACGACTATAGACGGGGTACGGACTGGTGACCGGGTTTATTGACCACTTACAGACACCACTCGGAACGCTGTAGCCTAGTTCGTTAAAGCAGTGTGTTACAAGCCGGAAGGTCGCGTGTTCGATTCCCAATGAGGTTAATCCTTCCAGCCGCACTATGGCCATGAGGTCGACTCAGCTTCTAACAAAAATGAGTACCAGGAATCTTCCTGGGGGTAGAGGGCGGTCGGCACGTAAGGCTGACAACCTTACCGCCATCTGTGAGCCTATTGTCTAGAAAATGTGGGAACCTCAACCTCTCACAACCATATGGGCCTTGACGGCCCGTTACAGGGATAGCTTTATCTTTTGTCTTTTACTCGGGAGTACATGGAATTAAAAAACTATCGCTAATTTCCACACTTTACAAATCACCGCAGCACTCTCTAAGCTTCTTCTTACCTGCTGTGGCAACGGCTTCTAACAGTGAAGATTCTTCGTCTTCCCACGCTCAGGTATTCTGGTCACAGCCGCCCGTGAAGAACTCATCTCAAATGTCAACTCAACTATAGCACCATCTCTTATCAGCCTCCCTTGCAGAGCTCAACTGCACTGCCAACATTCAACTGACTTGATTGTGGCAATTATTTTGCACGGACGTCATCGAAAACACCGTTATTATACTGTTGCGTGCATGTTCGTTTCTACGGGAACGTGTTTGCCGAGCCGTTGCTCAGAAACGGTCGTTTATTTATTCGCTTTATTTATTCGCTGTACTCATTGTTTGTTTGCAAGTCTTTGCCTATCAATGGCTATGTACACCACAGTATTATTATTTTTTTTATTGATAGTGGGTTGGAACTAAGTGCCTTGTATTGCGGCCCTTCTGGCCTATTGTACCAGCCCCAGATGATAGATGAGGGTGATTGTGGAGCAATTGGTGGAATGAAGATTGGCAGGGGAAACCGAAGTACTCGGAGAAAACCTGCCCCAGCGCCACTTTGTCCACCACAAATCCCACTTGACCAGACCCGGGATCGAATCCGGGCCGCCGCGGAGGGAAGCCAGCGACTAACCGCTTGAGCTATGGCGCGGCCTCACCACAGCATTATATTTTGGGATGTGATGCCATTGATATGACGTCATGCAGTTTGGTAGGTAGGTACCAACAATTCCTTCAGAACAGATGCAGGTACAACCCAGAATATTGAGCTTGCAGGTTTCTCGAAACGTTGCCACCTATCTTCATGTCCACGAAAGCAGCAATCATCATGAATAACCATTGAGTGGTTCTCCAGATGTTACGTGTGGATAAGCAGGCTGGAGTAGTGAATCTAATTGGTGAATTTTTGCAACTTTTTGTTGGGAACGCATCAAAAAGTAGTGGAAGGATCACAGGATAAAAAGAATTACAGAGTGTGTCTGCTAGCCTCTGGCTTGGTTAGTAGAAGGCTACAGGTGGTTTTGGGGCCGCAGTTTGAAACCGGAATGAATCATTCAGAGAGACATTGAGAATACTGCATAATCAACAGACCAGAACTCCACGACAGATGGTATAACGGCCTTGCAGTAAGAAACTCAGCAGCGGGATTTTGTGAACAGTCCCAATAAAATAACATCTGCTACCGGACGGAACATTGTTACCCCTTCCATAGTAATTACTGTTCACGTCCAGTGGACGCAACGAAAGAAACATGAATGGCGAACGTTAAAAGATGAGTCATGAAAACTTAAAGAAAAAGTTTCGGGTTGTTGGTATGCCTGTTTGACTTCTCATGAATTTCATAAATGGTCACAGAGCGTGTGAAAATGACTTCAGGTGTGGAAATTAGATTCGTTTTCGGGTGGGGAAGAGGCTGAATGCTACTGGTTACCACTAATGTGGCGAGTTCGGGAGATCTTCGGGTTCGCTCTTGCCGAAAGTGAATGCCGTGAACATCAGGGCAGGTCGGAGGATGCGATGCACCAGGAGCCTATTGCATATCCTCTCTGTATTTATTTGTTTGTTCATTCATTCGTTCCATTTCTTATTCTTGCGTTCTTTACTCCTTTATGCTTGCTTCTTTCATCTTTCTTTTGTAGTGTTTTCTTTATTATTTTCTTCCTTTCTTTGCTTTTTCTTACTGTCTGCCTTCCTTCGTGTATCTCTTGCTTTGCGGTTTCTTTTGACTCTTTTCTTACATCCTGTTTTCTTTTGCTTGGTTCGTCTTATCTCTTCCTTCACTCCTTTATTGCTTAATTTCTTTCATTATGTATTCCGATCTTAATTCCTTGTTCCGTTTCTTTACGTTTTGCTTCTGTCCTCCTTCCTTCGGTCTCTTTGTTTGGTCCTCTCCACCTGTCTCTGCCTTGGCTTTCTGACGTCTTCCTTCTTTCCTCCATTCTTTTAGTCTTTGTTAGTCCTTTCCTTTCTTAATGCCTTCCGTTTCTCCTTTGTCTCCTTCTTACCTTGTTACTCCTTCCCTTTCTTGCTTCTTTTGTGTTCTTCTAGTCAATTTCTTTCATTCCTACTCCTGTTCATTTCTCAGTTCCTTTATTTTTTATCTCTTTCCATCTTTCTACCTTCGTGTGCTTCATTTTACTTCATTCTCCATTCCCTTATTACTTCATTTCTTTCTTATGCCTCCTTCCTCCTTTTACTCATTTCTTAATTTCTTCTTTCCTTTGTTACTCCATTTCTTTAATGTATTCATTTCACTTTCTTTCTTTCTTGTTCTTTTCGTTTCTTAATTCTTGATTTCTTCTGATTCTCATCATTCCTCCTCCCTTTGACTTGCTTCTTTTTTCCTCTCTTCATTCCTCTTTTCTTTCATTTCTTTTTTTTATGCACACTTCCTTTCTTAACGTATTCCTTTGTCTTTTCCTTGCTTTTTAATAAATGAATGGGCCTAAATAGCAACTGGGACTGTGAAGAAACGTTTCTAGCCTGCTTTCCGTGCAAAAGAAAGAGGCTTATAGAATCATGATGCTGTCTGTGAGTGTTTGTGTGGCCATGCGTCTCCCTTTCACAGTTTGATTCAGTTGCTCTGTTTTCACGAAGCTTGAAACGACACGACTCAAGAAACGACCATTTCTCTCTTTCTCTTTGGTATGTTTTCCCCCTTATCACTGTAATCTTCTTCATTTCTCCCTTCTTCGTCTTCTTATCCATCCTCCTCTTCTCCACTGTCTTCTGTAGCCTCTCATTATTATTGTCTTTCTTTTTCTTCACGTTTTCCTGAAAGTTCTTCAGGGACCTGATCTATTCACGTCTGTTTTCAGAATCTGCTCTCAGGGGCCGAAAATCATTAAAGAAGAAAATTTCGGAAGACTTAAGGCAGAAGAACATTCGGGCTGAAGTGAGGTAAGTGTGACGTCACTTCACATTAACTCATCATGTTTACTGTACAAGGCAAAGCTGCCCATGGTTATATTAAGCAGCACACTGGAAAGTTGTGTCAGAGAGTGAAGGTATAGCTCCACCATTCTTGACCCCAGCACTAAATGGAGGTGAGTGGTCAGCTTCACGCCCCTGCTGTTTTGCCACCGGGGAAACTCCCAGGTACCCAATGGATAGGAGGCTGTGTTGGGCGCTGTGGGGAGAGAGAATTCGCTTTCCCCTACCGGGAATCCAACCCGTCGCTATACTGAGTTATCCTGGCTCCCATGATTCCTGAATTGAAAATGATTTTGAAGGAAGCAATTGGAGTAATTGAGGTGCTTTCCCAGCATTGCCTACTGGGACCGAGGAACCAACGGAGTCACTCAGGCAGGATAGCCGAGAGGTTCGACTTTAGAGCGTCACCGCTGCTGTAACCTACTCGATGCCAGTTAATACTCGTATTTCACAGACTGAACCAGGTGTGCAGGAAAGCTCATCTGACCGTGTCGATATTCGAGTTTGATAGGTGGCCAGATTTACGAGCAAGGCGCAGAAACAAAAAGTCTCGTAGGCAAAATTCCTGAGACGATTGGTTTCATACCTGGGCCAACAAGGTGTACAACAAGTTCCGTAACTGGATATGAGCACTGTTCGTGTTTCTAGACGTGGCTGCTCTCAACAGAATGCGCAGTGGATTTGGTCAAGTCCACTGACTGAGATGGGCATTATAGTGTGTGTGTGTGTGTGTGTGTGTGTGTTGTAGCATGAGCTTCGTTACAGCGCGTCACTCTCCGCACCGTAATGGAGCTGCAACCACTGCCTCGCTACTCATCACCATACTTCTCACTTCTGCTCACGTGTAGCGCAGGTTATTGTCTTCTGGGAAGTGACGGCATTTAGTTTTGTAGATACGTACCAATGTTTCGGAGGTATGTACTGCCTAATTCTTCAGGGTAAAAATGTGCCGAGCGTTAGTAACTCTGAAGAGGGCTGTTTCGTCAGAGGCGAAAATAAGCAACTGACTTTATGAGGATGAGACAGGTGAAGAGACTATACGTAATTAAATAAATCAATCAATAAGAACAAGTAATTTCATCTGCCACCTTGAAGCTTCAGGCAGAACACGGTTGTATCTGTTTACCAGACTATATGGAAATCTTAATACCCCCCGCCGTTCGAACATCACATCTAATATGGAGGTGGGGAACATGTCCGGTAAGTCGAAGTTTTATGTGTCTCAGTATGTTTAACGACCTTTCCTCGACTGCATAGGAACTTACGTGACTGTTCCAAACAGTTTTGAAACTCGTTGTTCTAGACTGTCAGTCGTAACAGGCAAGAATCCTCGGAAAGTCTAGGACTTGCTGCAATTTACAAGGAGGGGCGACCCGGAACCGGCTTGACCAGGTACCTGAAAATAAAATTAAAAAGTACCATTAAAAATAAAGGCAACGTAAGAAAATTAGTTTTTAATTAGTTTTCAATATAATGAGCGCATGAGATGCAGCGCCGAGAGGAATTCTCCTGCAGATTCGTAAGCGATTTAACGACGCCATTTCAGTTTCACGAAATCGCAACTTAAGTGTAGCTCACGTGAAAATGTGCACCAGATATTTGGGGGCGACTAACATATCAGATTATTATTCATGAGGAAAATTTAAACCAGGTTAAATTCGAGAAATGTTTATTAAATTCAGTCCAGAACTTGTTGCCTGCTTTACTGTCAGAAGAAATTATGATTGAAATATATAAAACTAATTTTGCCTATGGTTCTGTACTGGTGTATAACTTCGTCTCTGACATTAAGGGAGGGACACAGAATAGGGGTGTTTGAGAACAGGGTGCTGAGGAGAATAATTTGGATTTAATAGGGATGAAATGGCGGTCACGGTAGCCGAGCGGTCTTAGGCATGACTTGTCTTCGCTCTCTCGGAAGCCTGGATCGTGGGTTCGAAGCCCACACAAGGCATGGATGTAAGGTGTGTGTAGGTGTCTGTTCTGTGTTTGTGACGTCCTGTGTTTAGGTAGATGCCTTACGGCGAGCTGATCACTCGTCCAAGGAGTTCTACCTACTGAGAAATCAGCCCTATGCTCCAAAGTGGGAGCAAGAGGAAAGAAAAATAGGGACGAATTAATAAGAGATTGGAGAACATTTTGTAATGCTTCATTACTTCCTTCCTCACCAGATATTATTGGAATGATCAAGTTAAGAAGGACGAGGTAATCATGATATCCCATGTAGCACGCATGGAAGAAGAGTGCATATAGAATTTAAGAAGGAAAACCTGAGAGAAAGTTCATTAGGAAGATCAAGACGTAGATGGGAGGATAACATTATAATGGGTTTTAGGAAAATTGGATGAGTTTGTCGATTTTATTTATCTTGCTTAGGATAGATACCGGTGATGGACTCTTGTGAAAACGGTTATGAACTTTCTGGTTATATAAAATGCGGGAGATTTCTCTGAATAGTTGAGAAACTGTTGGCTTCTCGGGAAGGACACAGATCCATGGAGTTAGATAGTTAGTTGCGTTGCTTCCCATCGCCGTGGCCCAGGTTCGATCCCGGGTCTGGTCAAGTGGGATTTGTGGTGGACAGAGTGGCGCTGAGGCAAGTTTCCTCCGAGTACTTCGCTTTCCCCAATCTTCATTCAACCAATTGCTCCAGAATCACCCTCACCTGTCATCTGGGGCTGGGACAATAGACCAGAAGTGGCCGAAGTTCAAGGGACTTAGTTCCACCCCACTACTCTATTACTCATGGAGCTCAGCCCTTCTGGAGGAGCCGCCAATTCTGCAGCTACTCAAGAATTTCCCAGCATTTTATGAAACCTGAAGGTTCATTACCGTGTTCACAAGAGCCCTCCACTGGTCCCTATCCTGAGCTAGATCTTTCGAATTCATACCATCCTATCCTGTCTCTCTAAGCTCCAATGAAAAAAGTTTCATGAACTATAACAAGCACTTACCAAACATATGTTTCTAGAGAGGAATTTATAGACCACCCGGTATATGAATTGATATTGCTATACAAGGAATCTGCTGAACACTACATACGCGTGGATATTGTTTAGGATTATCATGGAGAAGACCCAGTGTATGAATACGTATTGCTCTGCTAGAATCCTGCTGAAGAACCGACATGCAGATTCTATACCAGGAACTTTCAGAAGACCCAGTATATGAATACATGTTGCTATAAATGGAACTTCCCCGTACATCCGACATGTGAATCTACGAGTATATTGCTGTACGCCCAACTTATCTCACATGTGGTATATGAATGCTATGCGAGGAACTCGCAAAACACACGGTACATTAATGCTGTGTGAAGACCTTGCAAAACTCTCAGTATATGAATACATGTTGCTATATGAGGAACTTGCCGAACACACGGTACATTAATGCTGTGTGAAGACCTTGCAAAACTCTCAGTATATGAATACATGTTGCTATATGAGGAACTTGCCGAACACACGGTACATTAATGCTGTGTGAAGACCTTGCAAAACTCTCAGTATATGAATACATGTTGCTATATGAGGAACTTGCCGAACACACGGTACATTAATGCTGTGTGAAGACCTTGCAAAACTCTCAGTATATGAATACATGTTGCTATATGAGGAACTTGCCGAACACACGGTACATTAATGCTGTGTGAAGACCTTGCAAAACTCTCAGTATATGAATACATGTTGCTATATGAGGAACTTGCCGAACACACGGTACATTAATGCTGTGTGAAGACCTTGCAAAACTCTCAGTATATGAATACATGTTGCTATATGAGGAACTTGCCGAACACACGGTACATTAATGCTGTGTGAAGACCTTGCAAAACTCTCAGTATATGAATACATGTTGCTATATGAGGAACTTGCCGAACACACGGTACATTAATGCTGTGTGAAGACCTTGCAAAACTCTCAGTATATGAATACATGTTGCTATATGAGGAACTTGCCGAACACACGGTACATTAATGCTGTGTGAAGACCTTGCAAAACTCTCAGTATATGAATACATGTTGCTATATGAGAAACTTGCCAAACACACGGTACATTAATGCTGTGTGAAGACCTTGCAAAACTCTCAGTATATGAATACATGTTGCTATATGAGGAACAAATAAGACAGCCAGTATATGAATGGATATTGTGATATGAGGAACCTATTGAACACTCTGTATATGAATACGTGTTTGCTATGTTTTACTCGCGTCGAAAGGCATGCCAGATCGTGCTTATATCACGTTATGTGTGTCTAATGAGGGCCCATGAGTAGGGTTTTTAAACACGTTTGCGTTGCCTCCATTCCAGAGTACAAGAAATACATGACACTTGATTCAGTTGCCTTGGTTTTTAGAGCATACCCTTGTGTGTGGTGTCTCTTTCTTCTGAAACATTCAAATGGCTCAGTGGGCCCACTTTGTTGACAAGTGTACAATATAGCTCAGATCCAATCCACTTCCTATCTATATTTTTGTATTGCTAGTGGGGTGGGACTAAGTCCCTTGTACTGCGGCCACTTCTGGCTTATTTTACCAGCCCCAGATGATAGGTGAGGGTGATTGTGGAGCAATTGGTGGAATGAAGATTGGTATCTATGCTCTAAATGAGGAATTCTGTAATTCTCATTGTTTCTGCTTCCAGTTCTTAACACTTCAAAGCACAGTGATTATTATACAGAGCGTCCCAGGAGGAAAGGTCAGTATTCTCGAAGGTCGTAGTATCGGTCATTCTAAGCAAAATTGTATATGTACATTTGCCCTAATCCGAGCGGTTTCCGTGATACAGCTATTTCACTTTACAGTTCCAAAACTGTTGATAAGAAGGCGACATTACGTACTGTTACTAATGCCGGTATTTATTGTTCAAGTGACAAAGTTGGTACAGTTTACCTAGTATAATACATTTCCGAAAATTCCACCGTCAACCTCAATGCACTTCGCAACTCGTGTGAGGACATGGCGTGTTGCTGTCTGTACAATGTACAGTGCCGTGAAATAGCTCTATCTCGGTGCAACTCGTGTGAGGACATGGCGTGTTGCTCGTCTGTACAGTGAAATAGCTCTATCTCGAAAACCGCTCGGAATAGGACAGATGTGCATATACAGTTTTTTGCTTAGAATGCTGGGCAGCAGTTAGACGCAACAATAGAAAGGCTGTCTTTTCTATGTGGTTCGTGCCGAGATATTGTAAGCAAGGGATAAAGTTGTCAGTTGAATTTAGAGAGAGCTCCGTACGTGAGGATATGAAAGTATACTTAGTTGCAACAGTGCTCAGTTGTAAGTCCGGTTGTGAGGAAGACTACATGTGTTATATCTGGAATGTGTAGTTCAGTGAGACTGTTAAGAGTGCCTGTGTTAAAATCCGTTACCAGAAAATGACTAGTGGATAGTGTTGAGTCCACCCAGCCTTCTATCCCGTGGATACTGGGGGTAAAGCGGCCGGGGCGTGAAGCTGACAACTCACCAAATTCCCAATACACCTTCATGTCTTAGAGCTGAAGCAGTTAAGCACAGGAAGAACTTTACCTCACTACCTGAGAGGCGAGATATTTGAGCTTTTTGTTGCGTTCAGAAGAGCCGTGTGCAGTAAGTTCATCAGTGCATCAGTGCATCAGGCATTGGAACACTGTCATTTCTTATCTTCTGAAGTCTGTTATTTAACAACGCTCTCAGTATCGAGATTATGCAGCGTCAGTGACAGGATAGTTAATGAACGTGTTACAGTTGATGGAATTAGAATTGGCAGGGGAAACCGGAATAGAGTAAATCCTTACAAATCTGGTTACATTTAACCCGTATGTCTGATAACCCGGACCGAAATATGTAAAATGAAGGATTCTGTTCACAGTTGAATACACGTGGGATTTAGGAGCGAGGGAACTTTCAGGCTGTGTTGAGGGCAGCTGGAGAGACTGAAACCGCGCAAGGCGGCCTGAGCTGGATGAAGGAGACTCTGGATTTCAGCTTCTGACAGAGTAAGACATTACTGCATTATTATTTTTATTTATATATTTTCATCAGTACTACCTATATTATTAAATTTACAATTTATTTGTGTTCTGGGAGTTTTTTCTTGTCTTTTAGGACTATACTGTGCTTTATTATTCCGGATGACTTTCCCAAATTAATCCAGATAAGCAAGGATTTACTGTACTCGGAGAAAACTTATCCTAATGTCATTTTGTCCACCACCAATCCCGACTGGACCTAGAATTGAACACAGGGCACAGGGGGCACGAAGCCTGCTACTAACCGCCTGAGTTTTGGCATGACGTCTTCTTGTACTTTTAAGCGACTTTTTATGTAAACTTAACAGCAGAGAGCGAGGCAATTCGCCGTACCTGATCTGGATTTCCATCGACTTGGGAACCCCGACACGCAATTTGGAGGATCGGAAGTGAGCTCGACCCGGAGAGTGGGGGCCGCGCTGAGGGTCAAGGTTGGTCAATGCTACTGCCTGGCGGGTCAGAAATCTCACTCAACGTTAAGTTTGTGAGGAAGCGGCTCTCCAGAGCGGTTGGCATAGCGGTAAGCCTTTACATTCGTATTCGGAAGGTAATCGGTTCGAATCTCAACCGGTTCACCGGCTTTTCTTACTGAGATATTCATTGATATTCCGAAACAACCGCCGCAACAGCCAATTCTATGCAATGATCGGGAAATGGGCAGTTATATTGGACTCCTTTCCAGGCAACTGCTCGGTAAACACGTTCACGCGGCAACGTTTACTCATGCAAGCGGGGGTGTTGTCTACGCCAAGAGGTTGTAGAGAAGAAAACTGGGGCAACCAGTTCTGCTGTTAGTTGGCAAGCTCTTCTGTAGTAGAATCTTGAAGGAAGGACCTGAGCGCGGGATGCTGAAGAATCTCTAATATTAAGATCCATACCAGGAAACGGCTGTTAAAGGCACTGCAGACTGAAGAAGATTTAGCCTGTAGTGTTCTGTAAAATGTATAGATCAGCGATAGCGTTGTAAGTGCTTCTAGTTCCGAGTTGTGCGTACAAGTGGTCAATAAATCCGTTCACTGATCCATACCCTTTCTACAGTCACACACATTAATCTTGACAATATTCACTGGGCCACGAACGCTTCCTTCAAAATTCATTCCATTTCATCATTCATCGATCATTCCCACCGTTCCAATCCCTGAAGATGGAGGCAGTATGTTCCTCCGAAATGTTGGTAACCATTTTCCAATCATACGTTCGAAGAGTAATGTTTTTCGGGATGTGTGTCTATTAGAAGTTTGGGGAGGTTTCGGAGTAACTTTGTGCCTCCATTGTGTCAAATTTCTGGCTGTCCCCCCACCGCACCCCACCCCGCCACACTCCTATCGGTGCCAGCACGTCCATCCTTTCCTTCATTTATCGGCTGGACAAGAAATGTATGTTTTATTGATAAAAACGGCGACAGGAGACGCTTCCTGTCTCACCCTCCGTCAGGTTTAGAACATCATGTACAGACTGTCTTGCTAGACGTGGCCATTGTTGTGCGCGCGGCGAGAGGCTGTGGTTACAGTTTGATTGCGAGACGGTAGCAGGTGACGTAATGTTTTGTTTTTTTTCCCCTAGTTTATTGGGGTGGGGTGAGACTGAATCCACTTGGCACGTCGGCCACTATTGGGCTATTGTACCAGGCCCAGTGGATAGATGATGAGTGTGGAGCAGTCGCGGAAAAAGAAGTAATTGCAGAAAACCTGCCCCGCAACAATATTTTAATATTGTGACATGTAGGATGTTTCTAGGAAGCAAATGGGAAAACACGTTGCCACGGAGAGATTTGTTCCTGGTAACCAGTGATTACGGAACACTGTTTCCATGGATACGGAAAGTGAAAGTTGTACACACGTACACCTAGAAAACCAAACGGTTGCTTAGGAATTAAGACGTGGTTTCCGAGACAACGCCTTCATGCAGAATAGTAATGGATCCCTTGGAGGCGCGGGATTCTATTCAAAGGCATACGTGGACCCTAGCGCTGCGAGTCGTACTCCCGCGCAGGCGCAATGACGTCATACTGCAGTAACGAGTAGGAGTCACGTGACCTCTGC